TATTTAGATGCTGATTATGAAATACAAGTTGTGCCACTCTATAATTCATAAAATCTTTAAAAGCTTACCATCTACATAATCAGATGCACAAGCTTATTTTTAATCAGCTTATTATTATCATAATATGAGGCAGTTTGTGGTTGCATTAGCTACTGCAGGTCTGCAATTTTGGAGAGCTTAACTTCACATTAAAGATGTTTCAGTTTTATTTTTAGCATCGTTCCCTGCACCTTTACAGACTTCAAAATTGCAACAAAAACAACAACAAATTCACGAACTTGACTGCCACCCCAAATGCTGGCAGTAAGCTGCGACTTGTGGCACAGAGCTCTTCCGTTTTCAGTAATGAACTCAACAGCAACACCAAAAAGCAACTCTCTCCTGTGTGAGCTGGCCTGCCCCAGGCAAAACAAAACACACTTTGCCGCCATGTTTCACAGCTATTTGCTCAGCAATAGAGAAACGTTTAGGCAGGAATAAGTGTCAGCTCCAGCACGCAGAGGTGTGTGTCCAAGCACTCAAAGACTTTTCTGCTCTTGTCCCCACTGCTCCCTGCTCTCTTTTTCTTTCTTTCTTCCCCTGTCTCAGCTTCTGGGTCCAAGGTTTTTTGCTGCTCTTCCTCCTGGTTATTGCATACCCGGGCCCACCTGATTGATGCATCCCCACCAAGTTCCTGCTGTAGCAAGATCCTCTCATACAGCTTCTGCCTTGCCTCCTACCTGCTAATCTTCCCTCCCCATCAACTACCTAGCCTTTGCTGCCTTTCTTCCCTATCCATTTTGTTGCCATCATCCATCACATGAGGAAGAACTTCTTCAATTTGAGGGTCACAGGGCACTGGAACAGGCTGCCCAGAGAGGTTGTGGAGTCTCCTTCTCTGGAGATATTCAGAACTCACCTGGATGTGATCCTGTGCAACCCGCTCTAGGCGATCCTGCTTTAGCAGGGGGGTTGGACTAGGTGATCTCCAGAGGTCCCTTCCAACCCCTACCATTCCGTGATTCTGCGATTCTGTGATCTTCTGTCTTCTTCTGCTTCTGGCTTTCATATCTTCTCTGTAGGTTGTTATTTTAATCCCTCCTTCCTCTCACACTCCTTGATACTAAGCTACATCCTCACAACCCTCTCCTCCCCACACTGAAATCTTTAGCTTTCTGTCCCTTCCACCCTTCCTGTCTGTTCTGCGCTTCAGTAAGTTCCAAGCCACCAGCTATGTCCACCTCAGCTGGCCACAACCATGGTCCTTTTGTCCTCTGCTCTCAGGAGCTGAGCAGGAACTGCACTGCAAATGCAGCTGTACTGAGCTGGAGCATAGACGATATGCCAGGAATGCATAAAGGTAGCTTTCAAATCAAAATTCTTGACTGAAAGTGATAGGTCTACAATTTGGTGAATTTTTTAAAAGCTGCAAAAATGTGCGAATTGGGGAGAAAAAAGAAAAAAGGCCACGTTCTTCAAAAATGACTGAATTTTATATTCCCATTAAAATTCAGTATGAAATAGACCACTGGCATGCAAACTTTTGGTTGAATCTACAACTGTGAAAAGGGTTTTATAATGGAAAGTGCCAGTTAATCCACATTCATAAACACTCATAGAATAGAACATATAGATTAAAACATAAAGGAACAAAATCCCCAAATGAGCTTAAGAAGTATCTTATGCCAGCCATACTGACACTATGGTCATGACATCTGCAGTTAAGTACTCCGTTACAGCTATGCTTTTAAAAACAATTTCTCCTTGATCATCCTATGTTATTGCTGCTGCTTTACTTGATATCTCTTTATGCCATTCTTGCACTGCCACACCTCAGAACTATTTGTTTAATTAATTACATAAAATAATTTCAGTGAACTAGTATTAGAGAGATTCAGGAATAACATGCAAAACCTTACAGTCTAAAAGCATAGTTTCAGAATTCCAGATTTTCTCCAAAAAAGGCCCACCAAAACTCAAAACAAAAAATACTGTACACAGAGTACTCTCTCCACTGGTAAAAGTCTTTAAAAGTAACTAGTAAAATAAGACAAATTTAAGACATTATGGAGAGGAAGAAACAACTTTTCTAAGGAGTAAATAATTGACTTACAGGGTTAAACTGCTTTTAAACACTTTTTAAACAATACTTTAAATTTAAAAATGTGAAAAACTTAAAAATAATAAGTCCCTATGAAAATATACATATACTGTACCATTATTTTTGTACTTTACTTATATATTTCTAAAACATAAAAATTGTATTTCAGCTTAAAGCATATTAAGAATACATTTGCAGTGTTAATGCATGATTTACTTAAGACCAATGGAATGAAACAAGTATATATTTATAAAACCTTTTTTTCCTGAGGTAATAATTCAAAAGTTGAATCCTGCCAGCAATGAAATATTTTTGCTATTAACATGCTGCTGTTCAGTTACTTTACTCCTGGACACACAAGATGGATATAATAATAAATCTACTTTACAAGACACACATGTGTGAGGCTTTTTTTCCGTGAGAAGTCTTTTGCAGTCTTCAATCAAATTTTAAGATGGGGAGTAAAACTCTAAAAAATTGCCGTTGTTTTTATCCATAAGATGCGTGCCTTCAAAATAAAGGGAAAGCAAAATTCACACCACAAAAAAAAACATTTCTCTAAAATACTTCATCTTCAGCAGCACTACCCATACCGAAAGCTACTGCTGGGATACTGCGATTCAAGTGAAATCCTGCAAAGCTGGGAAGTGCTGGAAATGACAGTCTTGTCCCTCTTGCAAAGCCAAAACAAGCACAAAATATGAGAAAGTCCGTTATCGTGTATGACCAGTCATGCTGATTTCCAAAGAGTCGTGAATACCGGAGATAAAATACCCCAAGATGTTTCCCCAAATCCATCCAGACTGTATTTGGAGACTACTGATACTCAGCAGAGAACACGCTTCTGGTGTTTTGCTCAAATCCAGATGCACTAGATTTGCAGCAGTTACTTAAGACAAGAAACAGACAGTCTAATGATAAG